TTGTTGTTGTTGTATGCAGTTTCCAGCAAACTTTAATTAATTTTTTTCTATTTGTGAAAATTTCTACGTTATTTAAAGGTAATTTTTATTATAGGCCTATAGACCTTACACAGCATTATTAATATGATTTTGGAGGTTACAGAACTTTAAAATTACTTTAAAAAATGGAAAATAATTATATCATTTGATTTCAAGATATTTTGTATACCTTAAAAATAATTAATTCTATCCCGGGATCCCGGGAAACAGTTCACTTTTATCCCGGGATCCCGGGACAAGCAAAAGACCGGGAAATGAGAAAGCCTAGTTCCTGGAGTGTCAAAACATCGCAAAATGCAAACAACCGAAGGGGGTCAAAATGTAGTGCCTCCCGGGAGATCTTTTATAGGAAACTGGCCCATTTAGGTGTTACTAACGTGAAGAAAATCCGAAAACTCCACATGACCAGCGCATTGGCGACTACCATTTCAAATACCGGTGGTTTTAAATAAAAGTTACGTGTTTTCTTTTAATTAATTACTGTCCTAATACGGATAGCAAAGCAAACTTGCCAAGTTTCCAGAAACTATTTCCATGTTGGGTAGGAAAGTATCCCAGTAAATTAAGATTACATATATTAAAAATTCAAAATATTTTTATTGTTTTATAATACACTATTGTTCCTAATGCGATCTTCTTCCTTTCAGAAACACGATGGAATTTTAAAACGAAAACAACTCGTCGTAATGAGAATAGACCAAACTATTTTGTTGCGATTAAAATTAATAATTTTAAGGTAAGTTAAAGTGTACAGTACATATCATAATCTATAAATAACTATACGGTTATCTATAGATCGTGATACATATTTTATTATTTATGTGCGGAAGGCCCCTTTAAAGGGAGAACTGGGGATCAGAGAAAACTTAGCAGCCCGTAGTGTTCTCTATCCCCTATGAAGTTAATGTTAATTTACTTACAAATTAAAATTTTAAGACTGTTTTTTATTAATAAAGTAACATTCTACGTATTTCATTTCTTCAAAAATGGGTATGAAAACGACCCCCTCGACCTTTAAGGTGAAAAGGGTCCCGTGATAAAAATAAGTTGGAAACCTCTGATATAAATTTTAAATTATTATTTATTACTAATGAATGTTTTATATTTAATCAGATAACGGATTCTGTGAAGAACATTCAAAATCACTTAGTAAAAAAAGAAAAAATATTGCAATCTGCGTTAATCGACGTGAATACTCTTCATATTACCTTATTAGTGTGTCATATAGCAAATAATGAAGAACTTGAAAGGTACAGTACTTATGTTTATTATATTTATTTTTATAATTTATAAAATAATTCTTATCATAGTGATACACTTGGGCATGAAAATTGTATTCAGTGCCCGTAACTAGACACGTGCGACGAGTGCACGAGACAAAGGGCCTACAACTGACAAAAAAAAATTGTCAGACTTACCATGATAATATTTCCGTTTATAAACTTATGTAATAAAATGCTTTTTCGTATTGGTTTTATTATTATTATTTTTTCTACCAAAAAGCAGACAAAAAAACTAAGAGGCCCAAAAAACTTTCAAGGGGCAAATAAAAAGCTAGTTACAACACTTGTCAGAATCAAAATGAAGATAATTGCTTTTTTCTTTGGTGGTTTAAATTAAAGTTCTGTTTAAATTTTTGCGAGAGATCCAAATAAAACAAATTTACTACAGACTAAATACTTAATTAGGTTTGTTCGTTTTGTTAAGTTATGGCAACGCAACACTTGAGCGATCTGCCTAGGGAGATCTTTTTAATTAAGGGAAACTGGCCCCTATTTAGGGTAAGTTAAAGTGTACAGTATATATCATAATCTATAAATAACGTGAAGAAAACCCGGAAAACTCCACGTGGCCAGCCCGTCCGAGAGAGGAGCGAACCCACGACCGAAGTACCCAGTGGTCAGGGTACAGTACGAGGACCACCTGGCCACAGGTGGGCGCTTAATTAGGTATAATGCGATAATAAAATATATACTTTTCAAAGTTAAATTTTGTTAAATTATAATGTATATCTGTATCTATTATACATTAAAAGCAAAATGTTCCTTCCTCACCAAAACTGAAACCAACACTTTACAAAGAAGCAGTGTGTGAGTAGGTTACACCCAGGGGTGCATATACTTTTCGTTTCATGGATTGATTTGTACGATCAAATTAGATTTTGTCACGTGATACAGATCGTTTCTGTCATGTGTTTTAGCTGACGGAGAGTATACAAGTAGGATCGAATCGTATTTACTTTGTGAACGAAATTGCTCACTAAACTGGTAGAATGGGAGTGCACACACCACGTAATATCTCGCAAAATAGTTTTTTTAATATTTATTTTTTTCATCTCAGTTTATCGGATATTTTAATTATCATGTTTTTACTACCTTTTATAAGTTTTAAATACTTTTTTTTACAATTAAACATATTTCTTTGCTCTCAACTATAAGCTTGACATTAACCATGGAGGCCGCCATCTTTAATCCTTTTTATCCGATCCAAATGATCCTACCTTTCATTCAGATTAGTTTAAATAATCAGAGTAATCTTGGATCAGTTTGATTACAAAAGTATATGCATCCCGGGTGGGGTCTACAGTTCGTACCTCGAAAGGACAAGCACCCGTTAAATTTTTATGTAAACTCGGCATGAATAGTAACCTTTGGTTATATACAGAATACAGATTTAGTTTATATATATAAACTTTTTACTTATAATAAAATGGCGTGCCGTGACATTTGATGATAGGAAAGCTGTGTTTCCATAAAAATTTTAATCAAATACTGGAATTTACAAAAATAAATACTTTATTCGCTTGTAGGCGATTCCATCAAAGTATTTAAAAGCTCTTTTTCTATTGAAAGCAATGCAAGTAATGAAAATATTTCCTCCGACCGAGTGTTCCTTGCCAATGTATGAATTCGCTTCATAATTGAAAAACTGCGCTCAACAGATGCACTAGTAGATGGTACCGTAAACATTAATGACATTAAATCATATAATTCTTTTAGTACGTCTTTGTTCACACTGTCATTAATTATAATATATTTTATGTCTAAGAGTGACTTGTGAATATAGTCCTAAATATTGCAATTCACTACGTAATTTAGATAAATCAAAAAATTCTCCATAAAATCTACTTAATTTAAAGAATTAAACTCGCTTCAGAAAATTATTAACATCTAAAAGTGATAAAAATTCTAAAGATTTTATGTCTGAAAANTTTTAATATTTTATTTATTTAATTTTGCATTAATTTTACCTGCATTTTTGAACCTTTAATTACATTTTTTTAATTAATTGCAAGTCTTTTTTTTATTTTGCACATAAGCATAGAAATTGTTTTAGCATTGTTTTGCGCAAAAGATAATCAAATTTAATTTAATTTAATTTTTTTAGTAATTTTTGTTTTATAAATTTGCCTGTTTTTTAAATCTTTTTAAAATTTTAATTTTAAGCGAGTTAACATTAATTGAACTACCGGGCTACTTAGTTGTAATTAATAACAATAATTTTCATAATGGACATATCATACATTAATAGCTTAAATAATAATATCAATTTATATTTGTTTAGATGTACAGTATAGTCTTACCTATGCCACATGCATTTCATACCAGCACAATTGGCCCTTCTTATAAATGTATATACAGTACATAAAATTAAACTTTTGACCAGGGCTGTGGAGTCGGAGTCGGAGAGTTTTGATATTTTAGCCGGAGTCGGAGTCGTCAAAAAATCCGCCTACTCCGACTCTTTTTACTTATCAACTTATTTATATAAAACGGAAAAGTATTGGAATCGTGTCAAATTTGACCCTCCAAGTTTTTCTTTTTTTCAAATCTACACGTTTGGAGACGTCCCGAACCCCTCAAGAAAGTCATTAAAGGGGAAAAATTCGTGCATGCGTGTGTGTTGGAGTCTAATTTGCTTAATTTCTTTATTTTCTGTTCTGAGATATTAAACAATATCTCAGAACGGGTAAAGTTTAAGAAACGAAATGTTGCACTGTAGATTGCGTATAAAGGGGCATTAATACTATTAAATTTTGGTTCTTAATTAAAGGTCGACAGAAGACCTAAAAGTGGTCATGTGTCATATCTCTTAATGAATATTTTACTCGTTATTAGCGTTCAAAATTTAAAAAAAATAAATAAAACTCGTCTCTACCCTCAAAGTAAGCTTTATAGCCATTTTATAATAGTACAGTAAAACCCATTAAGATGTTCTCGCCTAAGATGTTAGATTGTATATGGGGACACGATTTAGTTCAACCACTTTAACGCTTAATAACTAACTCCTGTGTTAAACCATCCGACTCCGATTCTGACCACACAAATTATTAGGCTTCAAACAGGGTGAACAAAATCATGCCCCCCACACAGTAACATCCACACATATAGAAAAAAAAACCTCGAATATTTTGAATATCTCGAAATTTCAAGGTGTCCCGAGTCCAAAAATGTAAAAATTTGGGAGGGGTCAATTTTTGAGCGAGCACTACACTTTTCCTCTGTAATATATAACAGCCGGAAAAGTAAAAATGATCGAATACATATTTAGCCTATATATTACTTAAAGAAGTCTTTTAGCTTTGGAATAAAAAGTTTCTACGCTCTATCTTTATTAGAACTCTATTTATTGAATCTTTTATTCTGAGGTCACGTGATGACATCAGAATTTCCGGGTTTCTTTCGATAACAAGTCCGCCCCTGGTCGGAGTCGGATGGTAAGGAAAAGTTGGAGTCGGTAGATTTTTACGCAACTCCACAGCCCTGCTTTTGACCGACATTTATAGTATACTCTATACAAAATTTTTCATATTCATCGTTTCTTCAAAATTTTCACTATCTAGTAGTGTTTTCCAACCTTTTTTTTTTTTCACAGCACACTTGAACCAGTAATTGAATTTTTGTGGTTAAAATCATGTGATTGTTTATAAATAATCTTTTCCATATTACTTGCCACTTAACCTAATTATTTTTATTTATTTTTAATTTTTTTTGTGAATTAAATAAAATAGTATTCTTGTTCCTTAAAATAGCAGCAGGTTACAACAATAGTTATTTAAATTAATAAATTTTATTTACATAAGAAAATCAATTAACAATAAGTCTTAATTTGCATTTAAAAGTGTCATGCTAATTACTTTTAGAAACCTATCCAATGTCCTGCTATTTCTAAGTTAAAATAATTTGAAGCAAATATGGACAATCATAGAGACATTTTTGATTTAAAGAAAATTTTATTTTAAATGAAATAACCTGGTATTATGCACACATAATTTTGCTCATGAATATATATTTTTAACTACATTATATATGCATTTATTTATTATAACATGAAAAACTCATAATCAATTTAACAAGGTTTTAATTTTGACATGCACATTTATTGTTCTTCGGACTTCTTTTGAAAATAATTTAAAATTTTTTGCGGCACACTGGTTGAAAATCATTGATCTAGTATAATTCAAAATACAAATTAAAATTCTACTGTTACAGTTTTTAACTCTGTTTTTTTCGTTCTTATACTTCTTTTTCTTCCTCATTAAAAATTTGTATAATTTCTTCATTTATAAATATTAATAAACCATGTATAATTACATCCTATAACAGAACTGTTAACTATTTTTTGCCACACACATTGTTAAGTATTTTTCAGATAACAGCTCAGATTTTTTCCTCGCCTTTATCTTAAAAACACTGAGGTTTATCAGTATTTTGAACATTATTAAAAGCTCTCTCATTCAGTGTTATGATTTCTTTTTAAATGTGCAAATTCTACAATTTTAAATAAAATTTGAGAATGAAGATTCTGAAATTTTATTTTTTACTGTCAATTAATATTTTGATATTGTAAGGCATTCTGCTGTATTGAAATAATTTCAACAATATTTGTTAATTATTAATGTCTAATACTTTATCATTTAAACTGAATTTAATGTTTATTCTAAAGATTATTTTAAAATATTTGATTAAACACAATTTAACAAAAACAAAGATTTTTTATATGTATAAATCTTTAAATTGTAAATGTATATGTTTTAAAATATAAATATGTAAGATACATAAAAATGTTATTTTATATTTTTAGAGCATGCTCTGCTCTCTCCAAAGTATTTCGAGTATTGAAAGAGGATCTATCCATAAACCCTCTTGAATTAACTTTTGAAGGAATTGATAACTTTAACAATAAGGTGAGATTATTAATTTAAAATATTAACTTTTATTAATTACTTTATTATTGTAAATATTTAAAAGGGATAAAAAAATTTGAAACTTTTTTACCTAGTCAATTAAAATTTTAATTAATAAATTTTTCAAATTAACTTTCAAAAATTTTAACTTTAAATTTCTGAATTGCATTATATACCAAGATTAAAAAGATCAATATTATAGTATTTGACTAATTTTTAAAAAATTAAAATTACCTATAACAATATTCTTTACTAATACTCCCTAAATAGTGCTAACTGTATCCACTTTACTTTAAATTTAGTCATTTTTAATGGTTTATCTCAGGGCTTCTTAAACTATGGGTCGTGACCCCATTTGGGGTCGCTTAGCGAAATCTTGGGGTCGCGAGATTTTAATGCAAAATATTGAATAGTGAAAATAACCCTCGTAAAAAAGGTTGTTTCGTGGATCGTTATATTGAAAATAATTTGCGAGAGTTTGAAAATGGTACAGTTTGTGTCATAGGTTTCGTGAGTTGCGCTTTGTGTCACTTCTGGTGCAGTGAGACAATGATTCAGCAACACTGTAGTGTGAACTAGTGTAGTGTTGTTGCTTTTCAGTGTATTCAGTTATCTCTGTTCCATTGTAACACAAGAGTGAACTGTAGTAATACACCATTATTGTTTTTGCAAATTTGTATATATCTTTATTTTATATTTTTTGGGTTGTGAAAAAAATCACAATCATAAATGGGGTCGTGAATAAAAAAAGTTTAAGAAGCCCTGGTTTATCTCTATATGATATTAGAAAAAAGTTACTTAATGTAATAGTTTGAATCTTGAAAATATCAATTTGTTAGTCTTACCATGATATATTATTGTTTTTAATTGCCTTGTCATTGCATTAAATAGAAATAGTAAAATATTATTCAAGTTTGTAGCATTGAATAAATCTGAATCCAAATATACATAAGCTAAACTATTACACATAAAACCTTTTAAACCAGTAATTGAACTTTAACGTAATTTCCTAAGTTGAGAAGAAGACTGTTATAATATACATAAGCTGTTATTATCTTTGCTAGAGTTTATATTTGTAATGTTGTAAAGCTTGTGGTTTCCAGACTTAATCAGTTCACAGTAACCTTACTATGTTAACAATTTTTAATGGCATCTTAAGCCAAAATCCCTAACAGTTTAATTTATTAAGTTATTTGAACTTAACTGATTATTGAAATAAAAAAACAATATACACTATTTCATTTTTTAATTGTGGTTACAATTAATTATGGAATGTGTGTGCATATTGGGAACTGTACAACCTCTCAAACTTTAGAATCATACTGGACTTTGCAACCTTCATTTTCTGTTAGTTACTGATTTATATTTTTTGACAAGAAACAATTCCTTGTTCACAAATTTGTTGTAAAGTCTTATCAAAAGACAGCCAACAAAAGTTTCTTCTGTAAAATTAAATTCAAATGAACCCTTTGCATTAAATGAATTTTGGATCCATGCAAACTTCTCTGTCTTTTGGAAAGTATTTTTCAAACATTCAGTTATATTAGTACTTTAAAAAAAAGCATTTAAGTTCTGGATTAAATCAACTTAATTGGATGTAAAAAACTGCAACAACAGGGAAAAGTCTCCTGCCACCATCTTCATTTGCTTTCCTTCTCTGTAGTAATAATGTTTCTCTGAAGTTTGAAACCTACTCTGAGAGTTTCAGAATCTGCATGTTGCTTCCATTCAGAGATTAAATACATTCAGTACTTTAAAGGGATTATAGTGTTGCAGTCTTTTGCATGCTGGAATTCCATGTTGTCATAAAAAATTTCAAATACAGTCGACCCCCCTATAACACGGTAGATACGTTCCGTTCTTTATGAATCTATTTTGTACGAGTCCTTGCCAATCACAGCCCAGCACATATGCACTTTACGGACTACGGCTGTTTGAAAGATTTTCTTCCATAAAATTAATCGATTCTAGACTAATTTGACTCAACATTTCCAAAACACACATAATTTTTTGGGAATAATCCATATAAACTATAGTATAAACAAAAAATTGTAGGATTACTTACCGAGTGTGCACTGTTCGACGTCACCATTGTTTAAGCTTGTTTTCATCATGGAGCAGCACACCAAATGGCGGCTGCGATTTCTGATAAGTTATTTTTCTGCGAAAACTTTGTTGAACTTTCGAGACATCATTAATATAAATAATTTTTATGGCTGTTGAATAAGAAATGTTTCTTTCACAAGAAATGTATAAAATTAGTACTGTATTAGACTTACGGTACCTAATTTACATACTGTACAGACAATAGTAAATTCAACTTACTCGCCTAAACTCTCCGTAGTGTGGTGCTGGACGGCGGAAAGTATATATATAATTATAATAAAGTTACAATAAATTAAGTTAATATATAATTATATATACAATACCTAATTTATATATAATTAATATATAATTATATGTACAGTACCTAATTTATATATAATATATATATAATACTGTACAGACGATAGTAAACTCAATTTACCCGCCTAAACTCTCCGTAGCGTGGCGCTGGACGGCGGAAAGTAGTTCAGCTGCCTGATGACGTTTTACCGAATTATAGGAGTTTTTTTATCATGTTTGTATGGATACTGTCGCAATTTTTTCACCGTCATATAGGAATCCGAACTATAGGATCCCGTGTTATAGGGGGGTCGACTGTAACTGCAATGCTTGTCAGTTTGCTGTGGTAATCCAGATCATAAATGACACAGTTTGGAAAACACTATCATAAGCAAATCTTGCTTTGGTCATATACTACTAAACCCATTTTAACAAGATTTCCAATCAATTATATCTTTTCCATATTTAATATAATATAACTTAAATTAAATTAATTACAGCAAGTACTAAGAATTAATTAAAATTACTGCTATAATGGAATATTTTATTCAGGCTACCTTATTATTTAATGAGTTTAATAAAATAATTAACAACATTATTATTATTAATACATAGCTTGATTTATAGTTCTGTATATCAATCATTTACTTTACTTTATTTTAAATGATTTAAAATAATATATAATAAATATAATTGTTTTTTAAAAATATTTTAGGTAATTTACATGAAAGTTTCTCAATATCAATTAGAAAGATTGAGGCATATTCAGGAAAAAGTACTAAAGACATTTGAATCCAGTGATATTGATATTACTGATAAGGAAAAATTTACTCCACATCTAACAATTTTGAAATTATCCAAAGATCCAAAATTATGGGATAAGGTAATTTATTATTATTATTATTATTATTAATTACACAAACAATTAATTTTATCTTCTTTCATTTAAATTTTTAATTTGGTTATAAAATATGAAAATCATTAAAACTTATTATTTACATAATTATTAGTTTTTAATTGTTTTATTCAAATTTTATATTAGTGTTTCTTGATTTTTTTATGAATTGTGATCCTCTTTTACAATAAGCAAATGACAGTCAATTTCATGTCATCTTCAGAATTCAGTCTGTTTCTTTGTTTTGAATAAAAACGTGTTGAAAGTCCACCCTTACACACACACACACATATATATATATATATATTAGCTGCATGTGTCTGCAATGCTTGGGCTTTTGAAGGGGTGGGAAATTGGTGAGGTTGAATTGGAAGAGGGTGATAAAAACAATAGCCTTAGTGACTAAAATGTAGATTTATTAAGCTCAGTATTTACAATAATGAAATTGCAAAATGCAAAAAATTGCTCAGATTAAAATATATAGACAGGTGGACCCAATACATTTGTCCCATACACTTAAATCATACCTTTGCCACTTTACCATGTCCAAATAATTGAACCTTTCTCAAATCTCTCTTCAGCTTCTTCCATAGGGTAAAAGCTTTAATTTGATACCAGAACTATATTTTTAGCTCCATCCATTTACTCAAAATAAGTCAAACAAACTGAAACTCTTTCAGTTAATATATACTGCAGATAAACAATTATAATCTTTGTGATGCTAGCCAGACAACTGAAGTGGTTAAGGCATCAGCCAACCTATCCACAGATCCAAGATCAAATTATATGTTGGGTCCCTTCTTTCACTTGACTGTCCCATTGTGGGCCTGACCAAGCTCCTGAAAGGTTAAGGAAAAAAAGCAAGAATGGAAAAACCTTGGCAAATTTTTCTTAATTTCAACTAAAAACATTTGCAGGGTCTCCAGAACTCTCCTTTTGAATAACAATTTTGTTAGAGAAGCCTAAAAATTAATATTTCAAAATGTTTTAATTTTTATTTATAAATTATAGTTTTTCCTTTTTCATATTGTTTTTTTTTTTTTTGTAAAAGTATGAATTGTTATGCTAAGAAAGATATATTTATGATGATGATAATATATTTATATTTTATTTTTAATATTTATTTATGTCCCATTATTATTATATATTTATTTGTTTTATTAAAAACTAAATAAATTTAGGTTTAGATAGAGTTAGATAGCCATGGATAAATAGGATTTAACAATTTGGAGGGCTTATCAGGTAATGGTATATACAGTGTAATGGTATATATACAGTGCACTGTATTAAAAATTGTAAATACAATGCACTGTGTACAAAAATTCCTTTTTTTATATATTGGTTAACTATTAGTGTTATAATTATATGTTGAAGCTATGTGTTTGTAAGCTGATGAGGTGTCCTTGTACCCAAAATGCATCCTTACCTAAATTTGAAGGTGATTATTAAAGACTAACTTTTTGTAAAAGATCTGGTCTTTTTTTCTGTCAACCTTGGTGTGATAAGCCCTCCAAATTGTTAAATCCTATTTATTAGGCTGTCTAACTCTATCTAAATTAAAGTCGTGGGCTAAAAGCGTCATTTATTAATAAATTTAGGTTTGTTGGAATGAATTTAACTGAATTTGAACTATTCGTTCTTCAGGGTATCAGAAAAGTTGAATGTTGTTTATATGAAGAATTCAAGGATGAACAATTTGGAACAGAAATAGTTAAAGGCTTACAGTTATTAGATATGAAGCGCAAAGATAATAATGGTTATTATTATTGCTGCAAAGAAGTTTTATTTGGTAAGAAAAATGATTTTCTAGTTTTAATATTACAAAATATAATGAAATACTCTGAAAAAATGACACAGGAAAGCACTGAAGAATTAATGTGAAGAGGTTTGGTCACTTGAAAAAAAATATTAGAAAAACTACTGAAAAGATTTATCAATTACCATTACCTGATAAAAGACTCCAAGTTAGACCAAGCTAGATGAGGATTATACCAATAAATGAAATTAAAATTAAAGGAGTGGTTTGGTTGAAAGAAGAAAGGAGAAATACAAAGAAACTTAGTTCTTTCAATGAACAGTAGTTGAATAGTTGAAATAGTTGCAGTGGCTTTGTGAGTTTTTCATGGTGCTCCAGGACACCATAACACACAGTTTGGCCATATAATGCTAAATACAGAGTATTTCTTCCAAATATAATATATAATTTAAAGTAAATCAAATTAGTACTAAACTAAAATTAGCAATATTTGCTGAATATAATCATTCACTTATATATACACATAAAAAAAGGGTTTTTGATGAATAAAACAAAATTGATGATTGTTACCATGATTGATTCAGAGAGGCCCAAAAAAGTAGTGTAAACTCTGTTGCAGACTGTACCCTTACTGAAGAGGGATCAGTGAAAACTCCAATTGGAAATGCAAGTAAATAAAATATCTGTCTTTTGAGTAATTCTTGAACTTGGTGAATGTTGGATTTGAAGGATATAACATTTTGTTTTATTCATCCAAAAATTCCTCTTTTAAGTTGTTATAAAAGTAGATAAAATTAATTATAGAAAATACTAATAACTAATTACTGCTATAATTAAATAGCATACAATAGTCTGAATGTAAAATATTTAATGAGTTTAGTAAATTTGTTATATAAATTGCTAAATCTTGTTACTTAATATGTATTATTATTATTATTATAAATAAGTTATGAATTGATGATGACAGTTACATTGCTACATCACAATTATATATCATATTACTATATCAATATTGTTATTTAATATATTTCATGATTTATAGTTCTACAAGATGCAGTCTAAAAGTATGCATACATGTTCACTGTAAATAATCTCCTCTATACACACTGTAAAATATATGACTTACTTCTGCTCTAAACCAAAACAGTGCTTATTTCGTAATACTTTCACAAATGTTTTCGAACTTAGTTCTTCTTCAGGTGAATAAAGGAAAGAAAACGGGCAGAATCAATGTTATTCAAACTTATCTGTTTCAAACGAATTCTGAAACGCAATGTTCTAAGGAAACTCGTGCAATCATCGTCTATCTACAGAGTATGCGCAGGTTTAACACGATGATTGCACGAGTTTCCTTAGAACATTGCGTTTCAGAATTCGTTTGAAACAGATAAGTTTGAATAACATTGATTCTGCCCGTTTTCTTTCCTTTATTCACCTGAAGAAGAACTAAGTTCGAAAACATTCGTGAAAGTATTACGAAATAAGCACTGTTTTGGTTTAGAGCAGAAGTAAGTCGTGTTCACTGTAACTGTTGCTCTTCAAATTATATGAATTGAAATACACTTTATAGTGTATTAGAATCTCAAACACAATATCAAAAATGTTAATTTTAATAAATAGCAGACTCACACACCAAAACTAAATTAGATTTGTTTTATTGTATTATATGGAATTCAAATTAATTCTTGAAAATTTTAAGATTTTGAGCCTTAGAATTTTATTATTCAAATATTTTTAATCTGAAAAATTTGATTTATTAAAAAAATAATTTCTTGGAATAATGCTAAAAGAATAAAACTGATTCCCATTTTTATGATTTATTTGCAGAAAACTTAGAGGAGGAATGGATCAGAAGAAATTAAAGCAAAAATAGGAGAAAGCCCAAAATTTGTCAATAAGAAAATGCATGAAGTGTTTGTCTAATTGAAACACAACTAGAAAGGTTATGACAAACAATAATCAATGAAAATTGGTACTTTTATACACATGCACCTTGTATTTTTTTATGTATAAAATACTTGTATTATAGATTTGTATTATAGAATTTTATAGAATTTATAAAATTTGTATTATAGAATAGCCACATTTCACGAAAGCACAATTAGTAAAATTGGATTACAAAAACAGAAACTTCAACCTTTGTACATTAAATAAAGTTTATTTTCATTCTAATTCTCTCTCTGCATATACATCTCAGGTAGGGTTTATACAAAAATTGGTTTTCAAATTCCAATATATCCGAAAAACTAGTTAAACCAATTTTTGAATTTTTACAAATATATATATATATTTTTTTTTATTAAAACAGTAACAAAATATTTATGCTTATTTAAAAATTTTTCAGTTCATTTAATATCTACGAAATTTTTTTTTGAGGTTACATAAAGGATTAAGTGTTTGTTCCTCCACTACCGCACTACCAGCTAACATTGGTGAACTTCAAAATGAGAATAACTGCAGTCATTCAAATTGGACATACTGCAAACAGTGTGGAATGAATTTGACTACTGATTATATATCATTTGTGTTTCTAATTGTAGTCACATTGAATATTTATAAAGTTATGGTAACTGAATGAAACCTTACAATGTGATGTTTGAAGTGATTGGTCAACCAAATGCATAAGTTTTGTTGTTTTGTAAATATAGCATTTCAAAGTTGGGGTATTCTTTTTTAATCATCATGTATATATATATAAAATTGAAGTTATCAGATGGAAGGCAAATTAACAATCGATGCTAAACCTGTTTTTGAAATCACATAACAGACCTAATTTTGCATCTAATGAGAAATAGAAAAACTGTATTGACTCCAGTTGGCTTTAATGAATTTTGCAAAGGTTTAAAGAAAATAAACATTGTTAAAATGTGGATCAGAAACAAAAGTATATCAACTTTACCTGAAATTGCAGATAAATCACAGTATCAACGTACAGTTTAGAGTCCTGAAGAAATTTTCTCTTTGATTTTTCTGAGAATATTTACCAGTGGAAGAAATCTACAAGAAACGAAAAAGTCCCGGACGGAAAAACTTTTGAAGTTGATATATTAGAGAGGCTGATAGTTGGGTTAGTTATTGGCATGACTTGAGAAAAGAACCTAAAAACTTTTTACAGTAGAGTAAGGTGGAAGTGTTATGGTTTGGGCAGCTTTTGTTATTGGTAAAACTACAATAATATCCATCATTGGAAAAAGAAGTCAAAGTCTTCAAGTCTAAATTCCAACAGGAACAAAAGTCTTCTGACTTCTGTTTCTTTTGGAAGTTAGACTTTAAGGAAAAAGTTGAGTGTTTCAACAAGATACAGGAAATCCTTGTTAGTTCAAAATTCAAGTGAAGAAATAATTGCAACTTTGAATTATCAAGTTTTGAATTATCCAAGATTTACATACTTTTGTACAATATAACTGCTATATACTCATAATTTATTAAGCAAATAGAATATGGCCATAACATTCCATAATTGCCAAATATATGCTGACAAAAAGGTCCCAGAACTCTACAAGATAGAATGATGATACATTTTTTTTTTTTGTAACTCAATTAGGAATAATACCACAAAAGGTACACGGTATATTAATATCTAAATTAATATATTTATGAAGAAATAATAAACGATATTTGTTATATTTTAGTTGTAAAATTAATGATTTTCACATGGTAATTTGTTTCATATAAAAGATATAATGATGGGGACCAGGGCAGAAACAAATCACAACTCAAAGAAATATCAAGTATTGACATTTCCTCTTGTAATTTTGTATCAATATAAGTCTGCACAAGATCTGCTGAACAACTCTCAATCAATTCAAGAGATTGAGCATCAAAAACATAAGAAAAACTCAAACTGTCCAGAAATTTTTTAAGAGAAGCAAGCTAAGTATAGTCTTTTCCTTTAGATATTTCAGAACTTGAAAATCATAAACTTTTCATTGTAAGTCATTCTTGGTTAATCGCAATAAAAAAACGCCAAAAATTTAATAATGATTTAACATATAGACAACCCAAAGGTGGCCTTCTAAATTCTTTGCAAAGTATAACTCCAGATATTCATCATTCTAATTTAAAAATACATTTAATAAAATAAACCTGAATTTTCTCAATTCTGTCCAAATAATTTATACCCCAGATAGGCAGAAGATAATCATAAATCTGGCCAACTAAACAATCAATTAAAGAAAAACATATATTAAAAAGCTTCTTGCCTGTATTATTTTTCAAATTTAGCATTTGAAGAATTTTAACTATAGGTAATAAAAGTTCCAAATTTCATTATCCTTTTATATAATTACAATAATAAAATAATTCAAAGTTAATACTTTTAATTGGTATTCTTACCTTATTGTTAAAATGAACAATGACTTCAAAAGTTAATTCATGAAGATTGTGAATAAATCTTTCAATACTTGAAGTAAATTGGAGAGAGCAGAGCACGGTCTAAAATATAAAGTAACACTTTTATATATCCTATATACTTATATTTTAAAACATAAAACATTTATAATTTTACAACATAAATTTTTATATTTTACAGATTACAAAAACTGTAAAATAATCTTTAGAATAAATATTAATTTCAATTTAAATGATAAAGTATTAAACATGAATAATTAAAAAATATTGTTTAAATTATTTCAATGCAGCAAAATACATTACAATATCAAAATATTAATTGATAGTAAAAAATAAAATTTGTAAATAAAGTTGTAGAATTTGCAAATTTAAAAGAAATCTTAAGACAGCTAAATTATAAATTGTAATATAGAGCTATTGATGTAGTAAGTTTAGGAAAGGCTAAAGCTTTTTCTAAATCAAAAGAAAATACAAAAATTTCTTCAGATGCTGCAATTTGATCTACAGCAGTGTTTCCCATAGTGGGGCCCACGCCCCACAGGGGGAAGGCAATTGGATTGTTAAGGAGGCAATTCGAAAATGGACTTGACCAGAGTTTAAGTTAACCGTATAGCCGCTGTATATGTTAGGGGACAAAAGAATTTTAGAAAGGCTTAGGTGGGGCATAGCAAAAAAAAGTTGGGAAACACTGATCTACAGACATATGACTATGAGCCTATTCATCCTCTTGTAAGTGAGCATTCTTTTCAAATTTTACCATCAGCATTTCCTCACTATCCGAAGACTGAATTTTTATTTGCAAAGAATCACAAATTTGGCATGTATCTTTAGATGGTTGCTTAAAATGTAAATTAAATTTAGTGGAGAATACCTTATAGTAATATTTTTCTTTTACCAGCACTATATTTTCATTTTCACACTGCAAGATGTACAGTACAATTCATACATTTTTTTAATATTTAGGTCTGGATTTAAATATTTTTGCCTGGAATTGTGAACTCTTGTATTGTGACTGGTGTAGGCGGGAAATGATTCTATATGTTTTATGACATGAGTGTCATCGATTTTATTGCCCGAAACATGGCAACTGTGACAATCAAAGAGAAAACTTGTCCTTTACAACAAGTTATATATTCATCCATCACTTATCTGATAAGCATCCTTAAAATATTTTTTACAAACAGAAATATCACGTTTTTGGCTTGTTCGGAAATAATATTTTAAAGAATGTGATCTTGGCATTTTATTGTTATTGTTCGGCTGCCTTCTTTTTATTTCATTAACCTTAATGCAACCCTCTTGAAAAAATATTTTGCTCAAGTTGACTGTCTAAATTATAAAATGCTTTCATGGCAGCTTCTCTTTCATTTGAAGTAATTTTTTCATTGCACTTATTAAGACATCAGCATACAACATCTGCAAATGTTTCTGCAAACATGAAATTTCCACTTCTTTTTCTGTATTCCAAACCTTTTATTCTTCTACGCTTTTGGACATTTCGGGCCCATTTATCAGGATTACAACTTCTTTTTCGCCCAATCAAATTATTTGCCGTAATATTGTCACTGCTACAATTCATCGTCAAATTATAGCAGTTCATTAATGAAGAAGTACATAAACGTTTTCTTGAGTCAATCTTTCTATTAATAAATCGTATTGAACCACCATCAGATTCACGACTTTCCACATTCAAACCATTATTATTAGATTCACCCATCTTGACATAATATTATAACTTTTCTCTGTTCTGAAAACAATTATACAACAATCCACAAGTACATACATACTTCTGCAGTAGTTGGACTGTAACTAATTTCTTTTACTTGCCTTTTGTGATAAGATAACATTAAATAATTACAAGGCATTGGTCAGTGCAGACTGCAATGCAATGCTAGTGTGCGCAGGCTAATTTATATGTCAGTTTGGAGCTAGACTGGCTTCTGAAATAAATAATACATTTTTCCAAGGCCAAAAAATTTTGTCATTAAGTGATATTAATCCTTATTATGAGTATAAAAAGTTAGGAGTATATAGAGTACTTTGACACTAAAATTTTAAAAAATTCAAAATGTGGAGTTAATGATTTGGCTTATGAATGGCTCATATAAGAGTGTGATTCTTATTTTTTTAAGGCCTTCAGCTTAATAACACTTATAATACTGTAAGCATTGGTTATATTGTAAAAAAAAGTAACAGATTTTGCTTTGCTCAAATTTTTATAATATGAAACTTAGAATAAACCAAGTAACACCCAAAATGTCCCGTTAGTTTAAATAGCCAAAGCAATCCACGTGTTACTTAAGGGCGTGAATTCGGTTCCACCCGGGACAAAAGTTTTTTCCTTCCACATCTAGGCTTTGGTTTCTGTGGGTGTATATGTAACTTACGCAGTAAAAGTTTACACTTTGGGTGTTATCCATTTATTAACATCTCAGCTTCTTGCAAATTTCCTGAAAACGAACCACTTAAAATCGTCCTATCTTTCCACCTAAACAACCCTTCTGCTTCCCACACTTTGTTTATTATCGAAGTTCGTATTATCACCGCAAGAGGCGCACTTACTAATAACTTATTATTCCTAAATATTAATATTTAAATTATTTGGTAAAAAATAAATAATATATTTATAATATAATAAACTAGATTAAGCTTTAATTTTAGAAATTCGATATTAATTTGTTCTAAGAAAGTAAATTTGTGTAAATATTTATGTATAGAATATGTAGGAATTCAGTCAGAATGTGCATTGTTTCTTCACGTTCGGTATGTTTTAATGACTTAAATAATTTTAAAAATTATTTTTGTTAAAGAATGTTGCATTAGAATCATCAATGCGCCATCGCTACTTTGAATATCAGTCTACATATTACTTTCAACTTTTGGAAACATTTTGGAAACAGTATGCCCGAAAACATAAAGGTACTGTACAGTTTGTCCTTTACCGCTTTTAGGAACTTTACGTCGCATGGATTCGATCTTCAGAAATTTTTACGAATAGTTTGACCCGGATAATGTCGGGCCTCATTTTTGCCATTCGGTTACTTTACTGTGGGCCCACTCTAACAAATAATGGGCGTGAAAAAAGCTCTCTTAGTGTCTGAAAGGCGGAGAATGTTTAAAAGTATATTTATCAGAATGAAAAAATTACTTATATATATTTTAGATTTATGTCCATTAATTTTTTTTCTTCATATTATTTATGATTACTCAACACAAAAAATAATTGTAAACTGAATATAAATATGAAAGTTATTCTTTTTTGCTTTGGTTTTTTAACTCTGTGTCACTAAGAGAGCTTTTTTTAAAAAGCCCATTATGGGGTTTGGCCAGAATAAAATGAGACGGCCGGGTGGTGAGAGACATACCCGGACGGACGACCACCAGAAAAATTCTTGAGATTTTTTCAACCCGTTCTGATTCGATTCCGGTTTCCCCCAGAGCAGTGAATCAACCACTCGGTCATCCGGCAATTCCTCTTTTGTTTTTATGATAAATTAAAATTATTTAAAACAATTAAATTAAAAATAAAATAAAATTTGATCGTATGTGGTGATATATTATCGCTCCTCATATAGAGGATTTCACATAAAGTATTATAAACATTGCTTTTGTTAGAGGTAATCTTCACTTACTTCGTTTTATTTTCATATTTATTCTGAAGTGTTAAAGTTTTGTTTTAATAATACAGAAATTTCTTGACTAGGGACCCTATATACAAGGTATTTTACCTCTACTGATTCATGCATCCAGGAGTAGATAGAGGATGCACGAATAGGGAGGGCTCGCTTATAGGACCGTTCCAAAATTAATCTTTTGTGTGAGAAACATGACACGAAAGCTACTCGTTTATATTTTAGATAAACAGTGAAGATTTTGTTTTATTTGAATTGCACCGCACATGGGCGATCTGCCAAGGGAAAGGTACTGTACCTCCTGGGAGGAGGACTTTCTATGGAAAATTGCTCTATTTAGGTGTTAGTCACGTAATAAAATCAGGAAAAATTTACGAGGCTAGTCCTCTGTTGAGGTTCGAACTCATGACCAGTGGTTGGTTTTATCCACTCAGCTACTGGTAGGCCGTGTTTACTTACGATTTTCTGAATGAAATAAGGGCTTACAGTTGTGACTAGCTCTGACCCCGTTTGACCTCGCTTATGCCATATAAATATTAACTCAAATTATGAGATAAAAACTTCATTTTAATTTATTATTCTTTTAAAAGTATAATCCTTATATAAAGTATATATTACTAACGGAAGTAATTTTCAAAGTACTTTAATATGCTCTAAATATTTACACTAAAATATATCTAACAAACTTGTTTTTGTATTTATTTTTTTGTAATTCACCTCTTCACAAGAAAATAAGTAATATCAAGTGATGTACTGATAAACGATGACAATGTGAATTATATTCTTTTCATACAGAGAGATAATATAATCTTCTTTTATAAGTCGTGGTTATAAACAAAAGGAAACATCACGCAATGGAAGTGGTTATAAATAATCTCTATAATCAGTCTTAAAAATGACTTTAGATTATTAAAATAGTAGAAAGACAAAAGGATGGTAAATATAATAAATAAATAAGTAAATAAACTTTTTAAAATTAGTTATAATGTAAGAATTTACATTTTACAAAATTAAAAAATTATCGCCTTCTTTAACAGATCCTAATACTGATCCTGCTACATACTTCAAAACAATTTAATATTGTTTTGAAGTATGCCAGGTACGTTTATTGTTAATTAGATTTTCAATTAAATGTAGTTTACAGTAGTTTGCCTGTAAAAATTAAGATCAATAACTGATTGCGCTTGTTTAATCTATTAAAAAAACGGGTATTTATCCTGATTTATTGATACTAAAATGAGTTTTTTTTTTATTTTAATTATACAGATGGACATTCCTAATTAGTAAACTATAAAAGATTTTTATACAAACATTTGAATTCCTCTTGATAAAAGTTTTTAAAGGAAGTCTTGTTTAACTAGTTTAACCAATTAGCTACTTCAAGCTTGAGTATTGTTTCTGTTTACTTTTTTTTTAAATTTGTTTTCATTATGTAATACATAACATTAATTCAGTTATGTTAACGTTATGATAAGCTAAATTTCTTTTACATGGTTAAAAATCCTTTCTGTCCCGTGGGCACTAAGAGGGTCCTTTATCCAAACCCATCGTGAGTTCGGCCAGGTCCACAATGGTGATGAGGGATGAAGACCAAAATTTCCAGGATGGACTAATCAGGAAGAAATGCCTGTGGTTGCTTCGCTCGTTTTCGATCCCGGTTCCTCAGAGCGATTAACATTTAACAGAGACCTCTGTTAAATGTAAACGTCCTTTTAAAACTTTCTATAATGCAAAGAAGTGTTAATAATTTATCTGGACAGACCACCACCAGAAAGATTCCTGGGATACCGTGCCGTCCGGATTCAATCTCGAGTGCCCCAGAATGATAGGCTACCACCTTAACGAATCGGCCATCCGGCCCATTGTAACTTCATCAAATGGTATATCAACACGAATATTCTTCTTAAGATATAAAATAATCCCAAAATTAGAAAAAAGATAGAATAAGCTTATTTATTTTCTTATACAAAAAAGTTCTGAATATTTTTATTATATACTCTAAAATAAATTTTTCTAATAAACAACATATATATTTAAATTAACATGATACACTTGTTAACAGAAATATTATACAGATTTATGTATATTTAATAAAACTATAATTTATAAAAAAAGAAAGAAAAATTAATCCAACTCTATTAATTTTCACCATTGTCGGCAGTAGTAAACGTGGTTATTAAAATAAAAAATGGGCAGTAATAATTTGCAAAAGCATTCGATGCATTTTTTACAGTTATATCCAGTTATTGAATAACTGTCAAAAAAATATGTATATATAATAGAAAAACCCCCACTAAATTCATGGGAAAATATTCTTATCCAAAATATCTGTCCAGCAGAAAGGGCAATGAAATAAATGGCAGTGTTAATTTACACAATGTTAAGCACATCACGTGATTATGTTACTTTCTTCGTTATCATTCATGTTTCTTTTTGCCCAAACACCAATGATGAACATTTCTATTTCACACTCGTCGTTTCCTCTCAAAATACGGAAGTATCCGTCTTCTCCCCATCGTCGTCCCCAAGAATTGGCACATAGCTATTTGGAATGTAAGTAAAAATTAATTTTTCGTCATTAACAATGTATAAAAAACAAAAAGAAATTGAACGTGTAAAAATTTACCCAATATTTGACTGGACTACCTCCGCTTCTGTCTACACCCCATCTGTTAAAATTAAAATATTAATCAAGTAGTAAAATTAATATTGATAATACAATACGTAGTATGGGCATCTTCAGAAAATTTTGCAGAGTGAGGCAAAGCTTGGAGACAAATAATAACATCAACCAATTTTTTTTTATTATTTAATCTTTAGAGTTTTTCTTCAGAGGTACACTATAGAATACAGTATTGCATCAGTACATCCCGTGGTTGAGGGTGTAAAGTTACATATCTCAATCAATTTTACGATTATAATTTGCGTGATTTTTTATTCGACTCCAGGGAGAAGTTCCCCGTTTGCCTCTCTGCAGGTCCCCATAGTACGTAGTTACCTGTAAATAGAAACCTACCCTATGATACGAATAGAATGCCATCCATGTTGTCGATAAGCTTCTGGCAAGTGTTCAGACAATTTGGTATGTCTGTATACCCCATTACTGTATAAAAAGAAGTCGTCTCGTACCTTAAAAGTAGCTGTAAAAATAATAATTATCATTTTATTAAATTTAAAATTAAAAAAAGAGTGTTTTATTTTAATTATTTTCTTTGATGCGTTTTGAAAATTTTAACGAAATCAGTTTTTGAAATATAGTTAAACCACTCTAAAACGGACACTCTACAAGGAACAATTTGCTATACAGAATGCCGGAAATCTATTAGTTAATAAAAATGAATGTGAAACGTGCCAAAACGGTAATTTCAGGCGCCCTTGCGTTCTGTTTTAAACAGGTTTTACTGCATACTTAATGTCTTCAGTTGGATAAGATTAGGTAACTAAAATAATTCCGAGGTCATTAAGTAACATCCTCCGAAAAATGACAGAGGGCACGTGCTTGGTCCCCGAATCTACCTTGAGCAGTACCCATATCAAAATACTTGAGAATTGATTAATGAAGTTTTTGAATTTGAAGGTAAAGACAAAATTTGTAGATCTGCATTTTAAAAATTAGTTCTATAATGTGAGAACAGGTACTACATTCAAAAATGAATTGGATTGGGTTGATGGTATAAAGCAACGCAACATATGCCAATGGAGAATGAGAATTTTTGCCAACGGGAGAATTTTTATGAGAAACGCATTTAAATACGTGAAGAAAACCCGAGAAACTACACGTGGTAAGTCTGTCAGCAAGAATCCAACCAACTAACAGTGTTCATCGGTTTTATCCACTCGACCACTAGTGTGCTCGTATTCAAAATGGAATTAACAGTAAGAAAAGAAACTGCAAGCGGAGCATCAAGCTTGAACATAATTTTTTAATATAAATTTCCAATAAATGTTAACCTTAAGCTAAAAATCTCACGAACTGCTAACAATTTTTACAGCAAACTTTAATAGTCTCAAGATTTAGACACACTGTAGTTTTCGATACATTATGAAAATATATTTTCTGAAAGCCTACTATAAACTTAGTGTTCTAAGTTAGAGTAGACTTTCAGGAAATATAGAACAAGAACATAATAAAATTATATTAAGAATTATTCTATGTTTCTTAAAGAAGTAAAGAAAGGTAAAGTATAATACATGTCCACTCTGCTATTATCAGTTTATCGTTAAATATTGAAACAAACATTGTTTTGCTGGAATAAACATGTTTATTCAACAGAAAGATTACATCTCACCCTAACAAGGTTTTATGAATTTAAGAAATTTCGAAATATGATTTACAATGTTAAAGTAGTAATATTTTTCAGGAGCACCAATGGTCGAATGGATAAAACCATCGAATACTTGGGGAGGCGCGAACTCACGACCAACTACAAAGTGGAGTTTTCCGGATTTCCTTCACGTTAGTAACATCTAAATGGGAGCCAGTTTCCCATAGAAAGTCTTCCCGGAAAGCACCCCCTCGGCATATCGCCCACGTGTGTGTTGTCGTATACGAACGAAACAAAGAATATCTTTTGACTACAGTCTACAATTGAAAATTACCAATTCTATGAAATTGCAACCAATTAAAACGAGCATATTTATAATGTTGTTGGATTATCATTAAAATAAGCAAATATATTATAATGTATCTGTGTACATTAAGAAAATCGCAGAGAATACAACAGTTAAATATTTATTTTAAGTACAGTGATGCTTCGAATTTCTAATTTAATTAGTTCCAGGTCTTTCAAAGTACAAGGAACTGTATTTCTGATATATAACATGGAACAAAGAAAGAGAACAAATATATTAATAATTAGTAACATTTAATTTCCTGTTACGAACATTAATTTTTCTTTTACTTCTTTGTGTGTAGGGATTTCATTGTTTGAAACAAATATTTGTAATAGTTTGTATTTAATGATTCAGAAAATCCAAAAGGTTATTGAGGATAAGGATTTGTTTGTTTCCTTTCTTATACAATTATTTTGGTTTCATATAAAAAACCGGTTGTAAAATATGTTATTATCCAATTGTACGTTCAGCATGACCAGGATAATGACAAATCTCTATACTACAAGGAAAAATTCCTTACTTTTCACTCGCAAGTTGACACGTAAACAAACATTTTCATTAAAGTAAAAAAATGAACTATAAAAAATGGTTGTTTCGTATTAATTCAATACTTTTTCAAATCCATTTTGCAGAAATATAGGCACAACAATTCAAAAATAATATGAGAAATTAATATATGTTCCATTGAGTATCGTTATTATTATCAAAAATAATAATATACATCAAATTATACTAGTTATTATCGTTATAGACCTCAAAAGCATTCGAATATAATCAGAAGGAAAATGAGTACTTCGATTAAAATGGAAATTTTATAAATAATACAAAGCAAAATTGAAAGAAATATTATAAAGTATTGTACATATAATAAAAGTCAGTGTTCGCTATTATCGTTGTCATTAAGGGTCATCGCCACAAAAGTTATCTGATCAAACTCTGTGCACTCCAGTCTCTTATTTCACTCCACTCAACTTATCATTTTCTCTTTCCATGGTTCATAAATTACTACTTCATCTGTCGGACGTTAACTTAAGAAATCTTAAGTTTGAAAAATTTTAAACGAATTCTTAAAACTCTTCTGAAATAAACAAATAATCAATAAACTAACCGAGGTTAAATGATGATTTAAGAGTTTAAACAGCGTAACCTATTGTTACTCTTACATTGTCTATTAAAAAAAAAAGACAAGTAAACTCTGTTATACTTTAGTATAGCCTCAACGTGCTGGTGCCTCACGTTAGCAAATCAATTAATTAATCCATCATTCTGCTTATCAGAAATACAGATCCATACTTAATAAAGTTTTATGTGTTTAGTAAGCATGCTTATTTATTATATTTAACACAGAAGAAGTGTCGTTAAGGTACTTTAAATGAAAAAAGTGAGACTTCTTTATAAAATTAAGAATTGATTCAAATTACGTAAATTTAAATCATCAGATTTTATTTATTTATTGTTATTATTTTTTTTCAATTAGTAATTCTTTTATCTATCATTTTCTGCCTCATGTGCATGACATAATATACATTCATACTGATTGCTGGATATGCTAATAATGTATCATGTATACTGAATCCATTCTCTCACATTATTAATGATATAAAACTATGTTTCTTCGGATTAACCAATTAACTATGCATCTGAAAAAATTTCTAGTTTTTCAGCTTCAATTTGACATATACTCATGGTGTATTTCACATGTATATCACTCATGATGTTCACATTGTATAGAAGATGATGGATGTTTTTTCTTTGTATTTATGACATCCTAAATGTCTGTTGCACTGTCATGATGGAAAAAACAAAAACGAATGAACAACCTAGGACTTTCACATCTTTAAAAACCTTAAGTAAGTAGGTCTAAATATAAGAACAGTTGTTCGCTTTTAGCCTTATTTTCTATGAGGATCCAGAATTATTTTCATATTTCCAAATTTAGCTGACAATCTGGATTGGTACATATAAGGATTGATACAGGAGGATAAGAAGATTTTAACTGCAAAGCGGATTAATCGTCTTTATGACTATTTCAACAGCAGTAACATTTTCTAGAAATAATATTTCAAGTCTGATGAATGTCGTGTACACGAATCCTCATCAAAATAAAAGAATACTGTGCTGAAAACCTATTCTAAAAATATTTCACATAGATGGTATTCGTATAAATTTTTGATATATCAAAAATTCGAACTGTATACAATCTATGCGAATTATGACATAAAATCATTTCTGAGTGACTTTATAAAGCAAATCTAAAGATAAAAGTTAACTTGATCTATGCAAAACAAAACAAAAAAACGGTTGCCTAGATAACGGAAAGGAAAATCGTTAGACTTTCATCAGGAGGGTGGTTAGTTGAGCTACTGATTTCCACCCGAATACACTACGCCTTTTCTCTCCCTTGAAAAGACCTCTTTAATAGTCTTAAGGGTGGAACCGAATTTAGCGAAAAATTCCCTTTTAAATGTCTATATTTATAATGATTGTTTGGTTAATGATTATCTATCTATTGCGATGTGCACAACATTTACGTTTATATGTAAAGAATATATAAATATAATCATGTACTATTTTAGTATTTATTACAGATCTCTTTAGTAATGGGTTTGACAATAAAAGTTTAATTAAAATTTTAGACAATAAAAATAGAATGAGAACTGTGTACCCTTCATCAAGAGGTGTTAATCAAAACAAAGTAAACTTAAACTTATTACGTCAATGAATATATTTTAAATTAATTTGTTTTGTCGTGTTTGAAAATATTCGTAGAATACAATTATCTGGTAAACAAACGTTCTGAATAATACGAATACTGTGGTTATAATGTCTTCAAAACAAAGATATATTTGCGTAAACTGCACCGAATCAGTTAAACCAACCTGACTTGATCGTCCAAGGGAGATAAAACGAAGGTCAAAATGCTCACATGGAAGAAGGAAAAGAAAATAAACATTCTAGTGCTCTCAATAGAAAAGATAATTCATCAAATTCTCGTAAAATAATATACAAAAAGTGCTTTAAGAACAAATAAATTTTTCTAAAATATTAATTTACATTTTAATGATTATATCACAATATATTAAAGAATTCTAATTCTTAAAGTTTTAATTTGTATTTGATTTATATATTTCTCTTCTTAAAACGAATTTATTTGATTAAACATGCAAGAAGAAATTTGGGTAAGTAAGGATGAATTTTAACTTTAATAATCAGAATAATTATATCTCAGTGTTATTATACAATATGAAGGCCAGAAATTGTTTAGTAAAAGTTGATTTTCTTTATTTTTTCTGTCCTATATTTATTATATTTACTCTTAATTTATGTATTTTCAATATACTTTTACGGTTTACAGATATTTATTTTTCTTACAAGTATCACATGATTCCTGAATAAATCACGTAGGGAGGTTCACACGAGCGACTTTTAATTACTTTGTCGCTGCTACAAAAAGTCGTTAAAATTACAACACGGAGTCGATCACACAAGCAACTGCTTAGTAGCTACGACAAAAAAAGATGCAAAA